GTGTAGGGTAACTCTCCATTACCTTGATCAGCATTTAATACCAACCTGACACTTAGAATTAAATTAGAGAAACAAAATTGGATACTTTGAGACTTGAGGGCTGATTACACTACTAGAGCTAAGAGTGGGTTTAAACTCTTTCCTTATCCCATTTAAATCTAGCTAGGTATAAACTCTCCATTACTGAGGAATAGAGGTGTGTCTGCAGAAGCAGAGGTTTCCCTTGATGTTCTTTGGACAAGGAAACCTAATCCTTTCTTCTGACACACATGGTTGCAATAGAAACCATTCCCAAACTGCCAGTCTGGTTTTAATCTATTGATTCTAGCAAGATGGGATTTGCAGGAGAATAAGGAGAGAGCAAAATTACCAGAACTTACCATAAAATAAAAGTGTTGATGAAGAATCAAATTTTAAACAAGTTTTGAAAATTGCAATCATGAACATATATAGACACATAGTGCATGCTATAAGTATACAACTATAAAAGTTTTTAATCTTAAGTATAGCTAAAGTCTGCTTTCGATGTGACATTTATATCTTGTTTTACTAAAGTTCTTCGGCTTACCCAAATGACAGCAGCAGTAAAATACTGCCATTAAACACAGTGGTGCTTCATTTAACCAACACAGTTGGATAGCGGAGCATTCCGTAAGTGACTTTTCCAGATAACTAAACTTACCTCTACATAATCAAACCTTTTTAACTTTAACCATTTTGTATGGAAACATTTCAAAAGTGTATTATGCAGTTTTTCTTTAAAAGATATATTGAATAACATATAATCTTTTCCCTTATGATTCAGGGTCACCATAATGAAAAATACTTATTAATATACAGCTCCTTTTAGAAAATGGTGAGCATTTTAGTGATATATTCCCCAATACCAAAAGGTTCCAGACCCTTCTGAAAACATATCAACCTCTGACAATTAGTTATGTAATTTATAAAAATCAAATTCAAACTTAAAATATGTGTCTACTCTGTGCAAAGCACTATATTAGGTGCTGGGAGAAACATAAGCAATATAAACTATAGTCCTTATCCAAGGAACAACCTAGCTGGCCAGTGACATTCAAGAGTAACCAGGTCACCACTATGGTGGAAAAGACAATTACTTCTAATAAAGCCTTAGGCCTGTTGCTGTCAAGTAGATTCCGATTCATAGCAACCCTGTAGGACCGAGAAGAATTGCCCCATAGGGTCTCCAAGGCTGTCATCTTTATGGACGCAGACTGCCACATCTTCCTCCTGTGGAGCAGCTGGTGGGCTTGAACTACTGACCTTTCAGTTAGCAGCCAAGTGCTTTAACCACAGTTCCACTGAATCTCGTTAATAAAGCTGTAAGTTTTGCAAATAATTTACAGATACTGAAGTGATTAAACTTGTGTTCTGATATACCTTCTTCAGTGAGAATGTGTCTTGGAAATATCTCCCATGAAAATATTATCAGTCATGACTTTTAGCAGATAAAAGACTATGAACTGCTTGAGGGAATAAAGTGGGCAGGCTCTATGGCAGCTTTCTGCGGCACTGCAGTCTTTTTTTTTTTTTTTTTGCCCTCTGTTCTTGTGTTCCTCTCAAGGTCCTCCTATGCCTTGGTCATATTTTCTGACTTCCCTCATACTCTTTATTGCCTTTCCCTTCACCAATATTAACACACGTCTTCTATTTGGTAATTTTCCCTCCCTCTCCCTCCTATCCCTGGTAACCATCAAAGAATGTTTTTGTTTTTCTGTGTAAAACTTTTCTAGTTTCCCTATTATAGTTGTCTTATACAATATTTGCCCCTTTGTGATTGACTTATTTCACTCAGTATAATGCCCTCCAAATTCATCCATGTTGTGAGATGTTTTGAAGATTTGTCATTATTCTTTATCACTGCGTAGTATTCCACTGTATGCATGTACCACAGTTTGTAAATCCATTCATCTGTTGATGGGCACCTAGGTTGTTTCCATCTTTTTGCTATTGTGAATAATGATGCAATGAAGATGGGTGTGCATATGTCTATTTGTGTCACAGCTCTTATTTATTTAGGGTATATACATAGGAGTAGGATTGCTGGGTCATTTGGTATTTCTATTTCTAGCTTTTTAAGGAAGCACAATACCATTTTCCTTAGTGGTTGTACCATTTTACATTCCCACCAGCAGTGTACAAGAGTTCCAATCTCCCCACAACCTCTCTAGCATTTGTTATTTTCTGTTTTTTTGATTAGTGTCTACATTGCAGCCTTATTGCTACATTTTACCTTGGAACCTGGATGGCTGAGGATGTCAGAAGTCTAATCTTGTTAATTCTTTGTTGTTGTTAGTTGCTGTCATGGAGCTCCCAGACTAAGACATAGTAATCTACTTCTGAAAATCATCCAATAAAAACCCTATGTACAAAATATTGCTAATTCCTAGGATCTTGTAATCTAATTAATAACATTATCTGAAGAAAACTGTATTGTAATGCTTTGCTGTATATATGAATACTAAACATTTAAGGCATTTATAAATCTATATGTTTACAAGCTGTGATGGTTAAAGTTGTGTGGTTGTGTGTCAGCTTGGCTGGGCCATGATTCTCAGTGGTTTGGCAGTTATGATGTAGTCTGGTAGCTATGTAATAATGCAATCTCCTCCATAATGAGCTCTGGTATAATGTAATCACTTCTATGATGAGATCTGCTATAGGCAGCCAATCGGTTGAAAGGGAGTTTCCTCGGGGGTGTGGCCTGCATTCAACATAGGTGGACTTTCTGGCAAAACTCGTTGGCTTTTGCTTGCGCTGGATCCTGCAGCTGGCTCCTGTTCATCTGACCTCAGGTTGCTGGGACTTGAGCAAGCAGCTTACCTGCTGATCTTGGGATTCGTCAGCCTCCATAGCCTCATCAGCCTCCATAGCCTGTGAGCCAGAGGCCTGCTGCCTGATCTGCTGACCTTGGGTTTGCCAGCCCCTACATGAATCAGGCAAAGCTTCCGGTCTGACCCATGGACTTGGGACTTTCCAGCATGAGCCATATCCTTGATATACATCTCTCTCTATATATATTTATATGCTTCACTGGTTTTGCTTCTCTAGAGAACTCAGCCTAAGACACACAGGATACCATATATCTTTATAAAGATCAATCATCACTTCCCCTGGCTTCAGAAATACCACATTCTTTGGGTTCTCCTTTTATTTCCATCCTCAGGCCACTTTTATTTCACAAACTCTCCCTGGTGCTCTCGAGGATTTCCTTGGTTTCAATTGCCGTTTGTTTTGTAGTTTAGACTTCTCTCCTGAGCTCCACACCCATGGATCTAATGGGCATCACATTTGGATGTAGTACAAACACTTCAAATTTAATAGAGACAAAACCAAACTGATCAGTATTGTTGAAGAATGAGATTGATTTCCTTGGGGTTCCCCCCACCCCCATCCCTACAATTCCTTCCCTGCTCACTTCTAAATTACACCAATTCTGCTTGAACATCTCCAGTACTTTGTACCACTCTTACGAGATTTTATGGTATGGTTTTAATTTACATTTTTTTCTCCCTCTATTCAAATCTGTTAATTTTCAATATTTGGTCAATGGATGAATGCAACAAAACTAAAGGCATTATGCGGAATCTCTTCCAGTTATATTTTTACTGATAGGTTCTTATCTGTCTGTGAGTTTTTTAAGTGCATTAACGGAAGCAGAACTGTAGTAACATTTCTCATAATTTAACTCAAAACCATTTCTTCCATCAAGTATCACTGTCTTCCCTGGACTACGATGGAACACCACGTTCCTAATTCCATTCCTCCCAACTTGTTTGCTTCCGTCATAACACCTAAAATCATGCATCGTTTATTAGTCTCCTACCTCAGTAGGCCATGCACTTCTTGAAAGTAAGAAATGTGTCTAATTTTTATATCCTTAGTGCCCGGCATATGGTAGAATTCAACAAGCATTTGCAGGCTAAATGAATTAGTGAGGCCACAAAAGTCTCAACAGACCACTGACTGCCCTCTAAAAAAACTGGAGGGTCACTATGAGTCAGAATCAACTCCACGGCAATGGTATTCCTAGAAAAAACCTCACAACTGGACCAATAAGCAACATCATGATAAACGGAGGAAATATTGAAGTTGTCAAGGGCTTCATTTTACTTGGATCCACAATCAATACCCATGGGCGCAGCAGTCAAGAAATCAGTGGATTGCATTAGGCGAATCTGCTGCCAAAGACCTCTTTAAAGTGTTAAAAAGCAAAGCTGTCACTTTGAGGACTAAAATGTGCCTAACCCAAGCCATGGTATTTTCAATCACTTCATATGCATGTGAAAGCTGGACAATGAATAAGGAAGACCAAAGAAGAATTCATGTCTTTGAATTACGATATTGATGAAGAATACATAATATACTCGATATACCAGAAGAATGAACCAATCTCTTGGAAGAAGTACAGCCAGAGTGCTCCTTAGAAGCAAGGATGGCGAGACTTGTATCATATACTTTGGACACGTTAGTAGGAGGGACCAGTCTCTGGAGAAGGACATCCTGCTTGGTAAAATAGAGGATCAGCGCGAAAAAGAGGAAGACAATGAGATGGACTGACAGTGGCTGCCTTAATGGGTTCACACATAGTAACGATTGTGAGGATGGCGAAGGACCGGGCAGTGTTTCATTCTGCTGTACATACGGTCACTATGAGTCAGAGTCGGGCACCTAACAACATTCCTAGGAAATATTTTAAAAGCTGCCTCTGGATGGCTAGGATCAAAAGGCAACCTACTAGACTTTCTTCCCAGTCTAAAGCGCTACTACTAACATACCCGAAGGAAATCTATCTCCCTCACGGCAGCCTACGAAAAGACTACGTCTCTGGGAAAACACAAGAGGCAAGCCCCACCCTTTTCCTGGCTTCACCTGCTTCGCAAAGACCGCACTCCGGGAGCAGCCCCAAGGGTCCTGCCCGGAGGGCCGGGGCATGCGCGAAAAGCAAAGGGAGCTGCCGGACTGGGACTGGCGCCCTGAGCAGACGTCATTTAAGGCAAGAGAGCTCCGCCCTTCCCAAGATGGCGCTGCACTTAATGCGGAAGAGGTGTGGGTGCTGGGGCTTCATCCGGGCACTTCATACAGCAACCGAAACTGCTCGTGATCCTAAGGTAACTGAAGGTAGCCCTTCTCCCGCCGGCTTCCCATCCTGTCAAGTTCTTCTTATTACCTCCCTTCCCTGGGAGTGTACCGAGTCGCTTTTTTCCCAGGGTCGACTGGCCTAAGGCTCATCTAAGCCGGAGCGTGGCGACGTTGCAAGGGTGCGTGGTGACGTAATGTCCCCCTTGTGGGAGAAGCGCGCTTCCACCTGCCACGTAGCCACCACCTCTTGCCTTGGTTTTGCTGCACCGCCGCGGTTGTCCGGCAACCTTGGAAGCCCAACTCTTCGCGTGAAGTTATCCCAGACCAGAGATCCGGTCCTTCCTGTACTGCCCTTCTCATGGTTGCATTACTATTTTTATCTTGCTTTCTCTAACAGCAAGCCCGGGGACCATCCAAAAAATTAGAAAAGACGTCTTGATAGGGATTGGGCTGTTTAGACAGTGGGCTGCTGCATTGCGTGGTCCTGTCCTGGGCGTGGCGGCACTGCTGCTGCAATTACTCTTGTCATGGCTTTTAGCGCATCAGTATGAGATTTTACCCTCATGACACAGACAAATATAAATATGTCTGAATGAAAGGGAAATTGCACACACGCGCGCACACACACATATTTTTCCCCTGTCACTCATTCAGACATTAACGTCTTCAAAGTGCAATCTCAGTGGTAGGCACTTTGACATAGATTATCTAGGGAGACATCTCCGGGAACTAGAGAGAAACGTAAGATTCTGTGATTATTAGGTGTTTTCCTGGCATCCTTGCATATTCATGGTCATAATGCATAGGTGTGAGAATTCTGGTGTATTTCAAAGAGGACTAGACTGGATGTTACGAAACCAGAGATCAAGGGCTTTGTCTGCCGTTTGCTAGCTGTGAGATGTCACAAGTCACTTAATGTCTCTGCATTTATTTTCTTTAGCAAAATGGGACGGGGAGGGGTTAAACTGACGAGTTAATGTTCCTTCAAACTTTGGAAAATCTGTGACTTGATGATTATGAAACTAAAATAAAACCAATGAGATTAATTATAAAAACCAAGGTTGAAGTTCAGCTTAGTTTTTCTTATCTTGTATATTACTTCACTTTTTTGAGCTTCAGTTTGGTTCATCTATATGGACCTCACAAGATTCTTGTAAGGATAAAGGGGATAATATACTGGAAGTTCTTTGTCAACAAAACAAATATTTAAATGTTATTTTATATTTCAGGCAGCAATGTAAGATTTGATTCAAAATTAGGTAAATCCATCAGATACTTCTCTCCTAACGTTTGAGAGTTTGATTCTGCAAAACCACCAAAATCTTGCTGATTCATAACTATAGCTAATAGTAGCACATTAAAACCTATGCTTCCAGAGTAACTAAGCCTTAGACCCAAACTTCCGCTTGCAGGCTCAACAGTTGAGGATTTCGTGAAAATGGAGACTCAAAGAAAAGAGACACAAACTAGAATCTATTAATGGTTACCCAGGGAAGTTTAGGGCACTAAATCATTATAAATTTTAAAAAATTTCTTAAAGCTCTACTATTGTTTCAGTGCCATTATGAATAAATGGGGTTATTTTTAAAGTTAATTTAATTTCGATTGTTTCAAGATGTAGAATTTCCAGGACAAATTAACATTTTAAAATCTTTAATTTTGCCTTGAGTACAGTAAGAATCAAATGAGATAAGTAAGTGGGAGCATTTTTTAAGCATAAATCTACATAACACACTACACATAACTACACTAACAGTCCTTTGAAAGAATTGAAAAAAGATACAAAATTATATTTATATTGTGATGTCAGTATCTTATTTGTATGTAAATATATAAATACACAAAGACTGGAAGGAAATAACTCATGTTTTGTTTTGCTTTGGTCTCTATAAATAGTGAATTAAAAATAATTTGTCTCTTTTAGACTATATTTTGCACATGTTCTGTGTTGAGGCTATATCACTTTTATACCCAGAAAAAAAAGTTTTTGAAGCATGCATCTCTATATAAATGTATAGTATTAATATCATTTGTCATATTTTAGTTCTCCAGGAGAGATATTTGTCCAACAGCAATATTATTAAAATGGCTTAGAAAAGGACTACTGAAAATTTATGGCCACTTTTCCTATATGTATATTCTTTTCCTCTTGAAAAGTTTCCTTTCAAGTCAAGGGGATTCTGTGAACAGATGCAGAAATATGTGAAGGAAGGATTGGATTCTTAAACCAGATGCATTAGACGTTTTTATGATATCTCATAACTTTGTGGAAAACAAAAATTATTTTTCATGAGAATAGTACAATAGAAAGAAATGTATATTTAGCATATGGACGAGTCTGTCAAAAACCAAGAAATAGCCACATTGCTTATTAATTTTGTCTCTGTAGTTACCTCCTGAGGTGAGAAGCAACAGTAGATGAGCCATAGCAGTGCTTTATTAAAAACTGTGACTGATGGAGTACCGTGATTCCTAGGTTATTTCACTGTTGTTGTTTTTTTTTTCTTTTTTTTTTTTAAAGCAAAATCTTGGGTAATAAGCTTGGTATTGGGGACCTTTAGTCATCTTCATGGCAAGCTTTTGTCCCTCAAGGCTAAGTTCAAAATAAAAAATAGGGAGAAAACTGGAACAGCAGTGTATCAAACCCTGCTCGTTATGGAATATCTACAATTTATATGAAAATGGTTTATTTTGCCAGGTGTTCCCTGACAGAAAACTGTTGAAGTCTGACAAAATGAGAGTAGTCAGAGAGTCAGAAGAATGAATATCTGACATTGTGTTTAAATGTTGATGGCATTAGGTAAATTTAAGGCTGTCATCATTGGCAAAACACAGAATCCACATTTCTTTAAGAGTTAACTTATAATCATGCAGAGAGTAAAATATTGATAGCTAATAGACTTTTGCAAGGATATTTGTAAGCATTCTGATGAAGTATGAAATGTCCACGTTTTACTGCAGATGAACAACACTCTTCATTATCACATGCCCCCAGTATGGATTTGGTCCATATTAACCTATAGTTCCTACTGTTAATGACCGCTAGGTATAGCCATTAGATGAAGGAATCATGCCTGCAAAGAATCACAACAAGGTTGTTGTTTTATTAACCTCTCTCTCTTTTTAGACTTTCTTATTTTAAAATAATTTCAGATTTATAGAAAAGTTCCAAAAATAGTAAAAAGAATTCCTATAAACGCTTCATCAAACTTCCTCTTATATAATGACAGCAATGATCACAACCCAGAAATTAACATTGGCACAATACTATTAATTCAGATCTAATTCAAATTTCACCAGTTTTCCCACTAATCCTTTTTCCAGTCCAGGATCAAATCCAGGATCTCACATGGCATTTAGTAGTTATGTCACCGTCATCTGCTCCAATCTATGACACTTCCTCAGTCTTTCATGACCTTGGCACTGTTGAAGAATAGTGGTCAGTTATTTTATAGGATGGGTCTCAATTTGGGTTTGTCTGATGTTTTCTCATGATTAGACTGAAGTTATAGCTTTTTTGGCAAAAATACCACACGCAAGAAACGTTGTTCATAACAAGGCTTTAAGGCAGGTACTAGCATCTTATTTTAAAGATAAGGAAATTGGCTTTAGTTACATAACTTGCCCCTTGTCACACAGCTAATTAATGATGGGATTAGGATGGCAAAATGTACTATTGGCATTGCATATTTTGCAGTTAGTATTTATTATTGTGGGTTTCTGTGACCTTCATGACATTGAGTTAGAGTAGTGTTTCCAGTGACTTTTCTCTTACCTTTTCTCTGCTATATATTGTCCATCCAACGTGCAGCATGAGCTAATCAGCATGGAAAGCTGTCAGGATTGGCTGGCTATAGCCATCTGGGAATTTTGCTAGTTGTTAACTGTGTCAGTTTAACCAGGTTACTTCACTGCTTGTGCTTCATTTTCTTACATGGAAAATAAGGGTGTTGGATGGATCAACTCTAAAGTCCCGTTTAAGCTCAGTCTGTGAGTTCATTTACTTAATATATTCTTTAGGTTGGTTGCCTTGTGAATGGACTTAGCTTATTAGAAACCCTTCTTTGAAAATATCTTTGAGCAGCTAATGAGAACTACCTTTGATAATTGCTGAAATATAGGGATGAAACAGTACATAAATGCTGCAGACACTAGCCTAGCAACTAGATGGCTGCTACAGATAGGAGATGGTGAAGACCATGATACTGCTGACCCCCGAACCTTTTCTCAATATATCTGTTAGAACAGATTTGACTTCAGGTTACAGAAGAACTGTCTGTAGAGGCTTAAACAAAATAGGTATGTTATTCAGAGAAGGGATTAACATTTAGCAGTGCCTGCTATATGCTAAAGTCTCATGCTATGTGCTGTACACATTTATATTTCACAACAGTCATATAAATATTATGATATCCATTTTATAAAAGACAAAACTAAGGCTCAGAGAGAGTAGGTAACTTTCCCAAGTCACAAATTTAGTAAATGGTAGTTCCAGGACTCAAACCCAGCCTTGCCTGACTCCAAGCCTATGTTTTTCCCCCTGTCGTTGTTGGTTGCCGTGAAGTTGGCTCCCACTCCTGGTGACTTGATGTACAACAGAACGAAACATTGTCTCGTTGTTGGTATGCTCGAAACCATTATTATGGTCACTGTGTATTTTGAGTGCCTTCCAACCTGGAAGACTTATCTTTCAGCACTGTATCTGACAGTATTTTGTTGTGATCAATAGGGTTTTCAGAAACTAATTTTCAGAAGTAGATAGCCAGTCCTTTCTTCCTATCTGTCTTAGTCTCGAAGCTCCATTGAAGTTTGTCCACCATGGGTGACCCTGCTGGTGTTTAAAATACTGATGACACAGCTTCCAGCATCACAGCAACAGCAGGCCTCCACAGGACCATAAACTGATAGGTGGAGGGTGGGTTTTTCCCACTAGTCCTCTGGTAATCTATTATTAAATAAAATCTTATGTGAATCCCTTTAGATCAAACAGATAAAAGCAGAACTTCTCTGATTTAGGAAGTAGAGGAGT